AGACAAGTTACTTATGCCTCGTTACACACGTACGTAATATTTACATACGAGCTTTAAGAAAAAATCATTATGTATTTTGTACAAACATATCTATTTGCAGGTCAAATTCGTGTCATATATATGACATAAGCCTTAATTAACTCACCATAATTGTGAGTTAATTAAGGCTTTATTAATTGTAACATTTATATATTTTCTTTCATTTTCTAACCTATGTGTCAATAAGACGTTGTAAGGAGTCATGTGTCAAGCCTTATACTGATGAGTGGTGTCAAGTGTTCAAACAGATGTCAGCTGTTGGTGAGGAAATAAAACATAATGTAGTATTGGTAAAAGTGTCAATAGGCGTAGTGCGTACTATGTTAAATAGTTAAAGGATTCAGGTACATATATCAGTAATAGTTGAACATATGCTAACTGAAAAACGTATTGATATTAATTATTTACTGGTACATTATATTTAATTGAATATATTTCTTTACTGATATCGTACTTTTAGGTTTATCAAGAGATAATGACATTCGGATAAATAATTAGTTTCAAAGAAAATTACCGGGAAAATGTCAGTATAAAAGGTGAAAAGTAATTGTTGACTTTGTCAGACTTGACGAATGCTAAGGTAAAGACAATCTGAACAAGTATAATGATACTTTGATACTAGAATAAAGCCAATATGCAATTGCAATCTTCTTGCTAATCAAGGCCTTTAGTGGCCTTACCCTTGCTCCATAGAAGGGGTCTTTTAAAAGTGGTCAAGTTATATAGAGAAGCGTTGTGACTAATACAGGTCTTCCTTTGTATGTTATTAGATATATATAATGAATGTCACTAATATTGCATTACGGAGGTGTTTCCTGTGAGGTCGTCCGTCATGCCTGTGTGTGTCTGTGTGTATGTGCGTGTGTGTGTGTATGTGTGTGTGCGTGTTATATAAAACACGTAATTAATATTGTATAACATGAAACATGTGATTGTTATGAATGATGTTATTGGAATAATTTAATTATGATTGATACTTTATACATTACATTTAATTATGTTAAAGATAATATATGAACAAACGCTACAAGTTAATCTTGTAGGCTGGAGACTTGTATAGAATAGAGGGATGATATAGAAATTTAAAAATACTTATTAAAAGTATATTTATTGTTTGAATCATAAAGTAAATACTACCTCCAGTAAGTACTAAGTCTTTGAAAAAAATACCTAATGTTATGTTCTATTGTATCGTAATAGTAAAAACAGTAATAAATTACTTTAATATAATTTAATGACTTTACTTATTACTATCTACAGAAGTAACAAGAGCCATAATAAAGCATTTTTTTTCTATTATTCGGTTTATTGTTAATTAATCATTACTAAGTTGAAAGGTTCTTTTTCTCACAGATCTGTGGCACAGTTTATAAACATTAAGAGGAATTAAAAATCAGATTAATATGTAAATGAATATAAAGACAATTATAAAATAGAAATCTCGTGAAAGTGACGCGATCTGTATTGGATATTAGATAAGAATGGACGAAGAAAGTTCTATATAATAATAAATTAAATCATATATAAACTATGATTAATAATAAATAATATATCTATATTATTAATATATTACAAGTCACTACGAAAAATATATTTAATATTTTACAAAAGTATGAATAGATTTTTTTTAAATATTAATAATTGTCTTTTCATTTGAAACTATATTTTTAGTGAATATTTTAATTTTAAGTCTTTCAATAGATCAGTCAGTTGATTATTATTTTTCTCCCAAATACACACGTACTGTATAGCTGTACTGAGCCTAGTTTTGTTTCCTAACGGCACACAAAGTGAGAGAACGTTACGTTCATAATAGTTTTATTCAATATAATTTATGCCAAAGTTCAAAACGTGTTTACTTTCCATGTGAAATATAGCTATATCACGTGACTGTTGTGTTTCTAACGTAAAGTAACACTTGATCCTTACAATATGCGGTCGGTGAATTTTTTCTGTTTTATTTACGATCCCACGCTCCGCTGGACGCTATAAAACCTACTCCATTGCCTCGGTTACTCTTACTACGAGTTTGTATCACTACTCACGGAGTTTCCAGTTACCGTTTCATATATTCAAAGTTCAAACACCATACAATTAATGTACATTATTGAATGAGAAACGAGATTTCGCTCTTATCTTCTTCTTCTACCTGGCAATTTCCCAGCTACAACCAGGGTCTGCCTTACATGTTGTGAATAGTTTTGCTATTTGTTTTTACGACCGGCCGCCTGCCTGACATCAACCCTCTTTTGTGAATCAGCATTAATCAGTGACGTCTAAATACTCTTAGAAAGTACATATGACTCGGAAAAAACACATTGGTACTTGCCCGGGCTAGGATCGAACCCGCGCCCTCGGCAACGAGAGGCGGGCCCTTTAACCACTAGGCCACCACTGACTTAGTAAGTATAGTACTTAGTAGAGATTTCGCTTGTATGACATTCAAACTTGTGGTAAGTATTGTACCCGGCCGTTTTATAGGCAATTATGGGTAGAAAAAATATATAACTAACTCAATTATCGGTTCCTCATAAACATATATTGATGGACATCGCATAATATTAAGTAGAATAACTAGATTTTATCGATATTCAAGGTGAAACTATAGTTTTAACTTTTAAGACTGGATACAACTTTGTTGTTAACAGCTGTGTCAACAATCAAGATAAATTGATTTTATGTATATACATATGTATATATTATTAAGCCAAAACTATTCACAACATGTAAGGCAGACCCTGGCTATAGCTGGGATATTGCCAGGTAGAAGAAGCAAATATATTATTTAGAGCTCGATTTATAGTATTTAGTATCTACGTTCCATAACATATTGCTTTAAGTGGAAACTTGATTTGTGATTTTTGTTTTATATTACAGTGTGTTTAAATTATTTATTTCCCAAATAAATAAATAAATTTCAGAATAGAAGTACTGTATAGAAGTAATAAAATTTAAATTTTTTAATAATGTAAAATTAAATATTCACCAATGGATGGGAACAATGCGCGCGCGCATCCAACTGAGAAAAGGAAATAAACGGTATCTACCCGTTAACCGATAATAAACTTTAATTAACACACAATAAAACCTATAATTGAATGACATAATTATTATAATTTTATAAAAAATCTTTTGTTTTTCAAAATGCCAACTCCGGTCAAAGATTCCTTGGGATTTTTTTTCATTATTACCTCATGTACACGTAATTCTTTGCTGATTTTTTAACAAACAATATGCATATTGGAGTATATAGTTATACCAAACATATTTATAATATGGGGAAATTTTAAATATACGAATATATTTTTAGGTATGTGCAAGGGTGCTACCAAAAGGGAAGGGTTAAAATAGTTATTAAAGGTTCTGAAATTATTGACATATAAGTTTTATGAGCGATGTTTAAGTTTACCAAAAGACAAGTATTGTCTGGTGTTAATTCTATTACTAATATACCGGGTCAAGAACGCCTCTGAAGATACAGAGAATTAATTTAGTATTTTTACATTTAAAATGTTTTTCGCGACGCTATTCTATAGTGAATATTTTTTAGAATGCCGATATTATCACTTAAAAATTAAAATTTAAATAATACAATAGAAATTTAAGCATTTTAAGACCTTTCCTTTGGTACAAAGTAGAGATAGGTTATTCTTGTATTATGTAAAATGTAATAAAACAGATTTAATGCATTCCCAAAGAGGGCTGATGTCAGGCAGGCGACCGGTCGTAAAAACAAATAGCCAAAACTTTAAAATTCACATTAAAAAATAATTATAAAAAAATCGATTTACTTGTGTGACGTCAACTCTCAACATATAATTAATATAAATTTGACAAGAGGTCGAAGGGGTCACTGAACCTTGGTACCTGTTATTTTTTCCATAATGTAATTATTGCTTTTCCGAGAATAAAGGCAAATGACTTTTAAAGTAACCTTGTCTGATCTCTTGACGTATAATGATTCAATGAAATTGTTAAAGAATATACTATTGAAAACAAATGCCTTTGAAAATTATAATGCAAACACGTAACTTTTAAATTTTGCTTTTAAAACGAGACAGGAAATTTGTATACTATCAATAAAACAAAAAAATGTGGAATATTAAGTGAGTTTTAAACAAAACAAATGACTATACGAAAAGATTCTGGTAAATAATTCCAAAGACAATTAGCGACTATAACGAGGTTATACATCATGCTTTTGAAGGTGCCTTAGGTACAAAAATACTAAGTTTTTAAATTGGTAATGTCATAAACAATACATAAAAAAAATTATTACTAAAGAAAAAATAAATAATAATATTAAAGACCTTCATTTATGTAAGTTTGTAATTCAATTTTCTCGAAATTCTGGGTAATGTTCAGATTATAAAGTAGTGGTACCTAAATAAACAACTTTTTTTGTGCATACATAAGCATGCAAGTGCAATAAGTTCATGCGGAGAATGAAAATCACTCTAAGACTAGAGAAGATGAAATTTATTGTCAAATTAGCGATAGTTTTAACCGTGCAGTGCTTTTCATATTCAAGGTAAGGTGCATGAGACAACAGCACCTACTGAGGGAGAGCGAGATCAACTATCTTATGGACAAGACCAGAAGAAAATGATGATAATAGAATAAGTAGAGTTAAACTTCTAAAAGATTTTATGACTACCAAAGGAATATAATTTTTTTTATTTAATGAGATGTTTGCAATAAGACTTTAATGGTGTAATCTTAATAATTGTACTTTAGCCTACCCCCCCTTTAAGTAAATCTCGGCCTACCCTCATATAAGCAAATCTCTATACCCATGTAGGGAAATCTCGCCCAACCCTTGTATATGTAAATCTCACCTTACCCTCATGTAAGTAAATCTAGTTCTACCCTCATCTAAGTATATCTCGCCCTACCCTCATCACGTGTCAAGCGCGGTGCGGGTGTAGTATCACAGTGTGTGAGCAAGTACCGTGTGACGATCACGTCTTACATGTGAGCGCGTCCTGCAGCGCGGTGGTGAGCGCGGTCAGCGCGCCGCGGAGTACACTGTGATGGCGGGACAACATACTCGCATCTGTTGTGATGCTCGGACACTTAGTATGGGGCAAGCGATGATACTTAACGTATCACGTTATAATTACAGTGTGAAATAAGTGATAATTATTTTTTCGAAGTAATATGTTATTAAGACCATGAAAGCACAATTATTAAACTGCTTGTAGTTCTAACATAACCTACGAGTATATTCTAATTCTGTTTATCTTCTGTAAGCGCTTAATATACCAGTCTATAGATATGTATGTACATAAGTATACTATGCTACAGATACGTACATGCAGGATGGTCGTACAGGGCGTCAACCCTCGTTCCTTCAAGCGGCCCCCCTGCCAGTCTCGCTGATATAGCCTCTAAGAACTCCCTCACCCTGTCGCCCCCGCTCGAGCTCGAGCCACATTCTTCCTCCTCTGAAAACGGAAACAAATCAAGGTTGACGAATGTCATTCAAACTAAAATGTGAACGGTCCAATTTGATCGACCTTAAACTTTACATATCACAACCAATTAACGTTTTGTTACCAATTAAATATACAATGATTTGTTGGTATGTTTATATAAGGTATCTTTTGTGTGGTGTGTATAATGTACTAACCGATTTGTTCCAACTTGTCGGAGCTAATGGACCACGGCATGAGGCTGAGTGCGCGCTGAGCTTGGCGGAGGAACCAAGCACCGGACTCGAACTTCACTGATCTGGATCATAAGGATACATATAGACTAACTTAAAGACCAATAAAAAAGATTCAGATAATTATTGAATGGTTTTTGTATCTCTTCGACGATACTGGAGAATCAAATAGGTACTTAACATATGAACACTTTTTACGAACCAACTGAAAACAAAATATTATTAGAAAAAGTAAAAAAAAAACTATATTTTTACCACTTAAACGTCTTAGTCGTGACAGAATTTTTAATAATTGATATATATACATATACTTGAAAATTACTATCTACGAGTAAGTTCAAGTTTCTGAATATACATTTGTACGTATGCTTACTCTTGATGCTGGCAGATGCAGGGTAGATATCCCCCGAGCTCGTCACCACCACATCTAACGCAGATGTTAGATTCCTTTTTTACAGCAATACTATACTTCCCGCCCCGTCTCTGCTTCCTGAAACAAATGGATATTCCCATCAATAAATTTAACAACAACTTACGCTGTTTATAGTATACATACAACGGTTTTAATAGGGATAGTAAATTTAAAACATTAAATCTACATTTGTATTAGAGGGAATATCCATGTTTTTAAGTATATCTTTCTACTTTGCTCGTACTGAGTTGGTACCTCTATATTGAAACCATGACCTACAAGAACGACCTTGTCCTCTTAATTTAGTACGCGACGTCATTATGTACTTTGATAAACTAGCGACGGTCACATTATACGACAATCATGATATTAGGACTGGGTCAACTTATCAATAGATTTCATGGAAGAATCATCTCTTAAATTAATGATTCACACATAAAAAAATATTTTTTAATGTTATTATAAGTTTAAAGCTATCGTTAATAATTTTAATATATTAAAATATAATCATGAGCCAACTTCAAATATCTGATGGGTTTGTTAAATATGTAAAATTTGTGTAAATATTAGCAAATATTTGGTTATGAATCATCCAATGAAATATTTGTGTTTGAAGTGGAAACGAAATATTGAATGAAGGATATTACAAAAATTATAACGGAACTTTTAAATCATTGCTTTTAAAACTATTTACTTTAAATTATTTACTGTGGTTTAGGAACAGTCGAGTCAAGTTATAAATTTACCAGGTTTCTTTCGATTGACATTTGTTAAAACTGAATTTTCTAATTATGTACAGAATTTTTTAAGAATATATGTACTTCCTAAGAGTATTTAGACACCACTGACAGGTGGTGGAGGAAAACATTGTGAGGAAATCTAGACTTATAATATACAATTATAAGTTTGAAATCACCAACCCGTTTTGAGGAAACATCTTCATAAATGCTAAAATCTTCTCCAAGTGAGAAGAGGCTTTGTTCAGCAGTGGGCTCTGTTAGGCTGATGATGATGATATATTTATAATTATTAACCTTTATTTTTTTTAATAAATTACGCTGTAATTATAGTCATATAAGAACTAATTGGACACAAGTTATTTATAGTATATTAATAAACCAAAGGTCGTACAACAGGAAGCGTTATTCCTTAGATTTCACTGAGCTAGGTCACCTGAATGATCCTAACATATCAATATGAAATTTGTTACTGGTGTCTTGACAATTTTCACATACTTGGTGTTACCGATGTATACTTTTAACATAAAGTATAGTTACATTGTAATTATATCGCTAATTGAACTTTAAGTGCGGATACCTGTAGCCTAAGATTACAATTATTCTTCCTAGTATTCTAAATTATTTGTGCCTTTTTTGCGAGTAACAACGCATCCATGCATTATAATTTATATTTTGCTTATGAAAATAATTTAAAATTAAAACCATCAAGGTCAAAAGGTTGCATTAATTCAGCCTTACGGCAGTATTTTTGCAGATATGGCAATGTTCATATGTCAATGTTGCGAGATTGTTCTTTATAATAACTGGCTTTTCAAAAATAAATAAAATTACTATATAGCAAGTCTTTACGTTATTTAAAGATATTGGAAAATAGTTCTTTGTACAGCGAGTAATTTGAAAGTCATCAACAAACTCACATTCATTAATAAATACTTATGAGTTATGTGCGACATACGACATTTATGTTTTGTTTTGTTTCCCATTGCCTAATATATATTGCATCTTCCACTAAAAGGTTAGTTGTATATATTAATTTAATTATATCTATGGTTAGCGACACAGGTCTTGCCCAACTGTTCCTTGCCCAATCGCTATGTGAGCCGCGCCTGCTGGTAGCGAGGTAGCAAGGCCATCCCCATGTTCACAGATTTCAACACCACGGAATGTTTAAGTTCATTAAACTTTTTGAGTATCATTAATATAAATATCATTATCATTAAAATTACAATACAATTTAATTGAACTTAAGTTTTGTAATACATATCGAGCAAAGTTTGTCAAATGCGATGTTTAAAATATACTCGTTTGTATATGAGATTTGTTTGCGTCAATAATTTTTAGCCGGAATAGTTTTTAGAAGGTCGTACTTTTAAAGATAAATTAATTTGTTAGTAAAAAAAATCTCTTTTTCTTACAGAGGTGCCATCAAATTAATCCGATGACCTTTTGAGATAGCTCTATCTTTTTTTATATACTTAATAAACATCGACTTAGAAACGGAAAAAACTAAGACTAAGTGTACCACAGACTTCTGGTAAACAAATTTGTATGTGAGCTTTGGAACCACTCAATAATCTCTAAAACCTTCTCATTTAAATTCACTCACATTTCATAATTTAAATAGTACGTAAAATGCATACTTAATTTTTTAAGTAAAATTAAATTATATTTTAACAAGCATAATATACACGCAAACATATTTTAAATGTCAATATTGTCACAAACTCAAGAGGTACAGGTCCTGTCAGTTATGTCCATATAATAAAATAAATATTTTATGAAACTAAGAAATTTTTCGATTCTTGTATTTAAGAGTCAATTTTATTAGGTGTTGAACATCAGTTGGTTTTCCTACTCTCGAAATCCCCTCTTTTAATATTACAATATTATTTTTTATATAGTCCACAACTTCTATTTATGTTAGTAGGAAATATCACAATAATTATAATATTTTTATTTATTAATATATTCGTTTAGCCTTGAGTATTCATTATAGGCATATTTTGATTAAATTTAAATCATATAAGACCTTGAAGTAAAAAATCCTATTCTTCTATATATATAAAAATGGATTGCTGTTCCTTAGTCTCGCTAAAACTCGAGAACAGCTGAACGGATTTATCTTATCTTAGTCTTGAAATGTTCGTGGAGGTTCAGGGAAGGTATAAAAGCTGAAAAAAATTGATTCATTACTGGGAAAACCATAAAAACAGCCCTTTTCTATTTCCCATACAAACGTTTTTTTTGACATTAGATTTGACAACTAACTAATATGTCAATCATTCTGTCGCACTTCAAAACACGGAGATTTATGGCTTACAGGTAAACTCCAAAAATATAAATAAAAAACGTATTAGATATTTCTTGATTATAGGGCGATACGAAGTTCGCCAGGTCTTCTAGTTTTTAATATATAACATATGTACGTCATCTGAAACACTAATGAGATTTAAATGAAACTTATATTTTCGGATGTACTACGTGATTTTTATTTTTGATGATAAACTATATACTCCTGAAGTTTCGGTTTCTTTACATCAACCGTGATCATGGACAGACGAGATCTTAGATCAATCTTAGATCTCACTAATGAGATTTTATATGTTAAGTGCTCCGATTTGATGCTACCTGCATCTTCAATGGGAGCTAATATTTGTAATATTTTTTTTTATTAATATATAAAAAAACTGTATGTTAGATAGGGATTAGGGACCACTTAAACCTACACCTGGGTCACAAGTCCCAGTCACTGTTGAAGCTCCTCTCACTACAACGGTGGATCCGACACACGCACCGTGAATACATTGAATGCTAAGAGATTTCGCCTCTAAAACATGTGTTTTACTTATGCCCGAAAATAAAAAACTCAGAAGTCAATGACCATACAATGTGTTAAATTTATAATACAGGTCAGATATGGAATATGAATTATTATGAACTAGGAAGATATTTAATACACATTAAAAGTTTGTATAAATATTTAATATATTTATGTATAACATCACAGAAACAGTTACGATAAGAATATAAAATATAAATTATAAATTTTTCAGTACAGCCAGTGATATAAGACAATTAAGTGAATTATTTTCATTACAATTCGTATCTAAATATGAAGAATTGAAAGACTGATAATTACTTTATAACGGGCAATAATAAAATATACAAGCTAGCGTCATGATCACGGCTTCGCTCGTTTTTTAATGCTATAGGTTGTATTTAAAGATATTGCTTGTCAAACTTTAAACACGTAAATATGTCCTGATTCCTGAAGTGCCAACTATCATGCAAACCAACTAACTATTATTGATGATATAAATACACAATTTAATTAGAAAAATCATTCCAAATTATACGAAAAAGATATTTAAACTCGAAAGTAAATCAAAATTTTTAAGCTATTTCTTAATGTAGACTTAATAATATCAATATACAAAACCGCTGGATTAGACAATATTGTAACATTTCTAAAACGATAATTAAGTGTTGAAAAACACTCAAAGCGAAATAGTGAGTGCTATTTCACACCAAGTCAGCTCCAAGGCTGCTGAGAGCTATCTTATTCACAATATTATACAACGTCGATTTAGCAACTTGTGATTAGGGCAAGAGTAACGTTGGTAACATTAGCAATAGTAAAGTAATAGTAAAAGTAAAGTAATTGTAACACAAACTTACTTAAACCCGAAATATATTATAACTATTTACTTAAAGCAATCAGTGAAGTATGTTTAACAAAAGACGTAAAAAACTTGTATAATTATTGTATAATTATACATGAAAAAAGGATAATTATTCTAGATTCATTTTTAATTTTTTGTACCCTTAACCAGTAAAAAAGAAGCTTTTAAATTAAATTAATATTTTTTGCATTTTTGGCAATATTTCTTATGTTTGATAAATGCAGGAAGAAAGATTATAAAAACTTGCCAAAAAAATTGACACATAGGTCAGGGTTAGTGATAAATTTCTTTGACTGTTCATAAATATTATACTTAAATGTAACAACCACGTAAATAAGATAAGGAGTGACGACCAATAGTTTAAAGTTTGCTCAGGTCAAACAATAACTCACAGAATACTTATTAGGGACCATTTTGTATTAAACACAAAAATACGTATACTTATAATTTTTTATTTGATGTAACTGTATATTAATCAAAAGTTTCGTACCAACATAAAAGACCGAGAGATATTTTCTTTATAATGTAAGGTCATTGAAATCATTTCCGATTCCGTCATGAAAAAACCGATGTCGCCGTCACAATACAAAGCGAAGAGGAAGTTTAACGTTCACTATTCAAATAACCGAGATTTAATCTTAAATTCTCGAAAAACCGATAATATTAAGATGCTTCCTTATCAATACGAGGTAAAGGTCAAAGTTTTACCACGGTTATGTTATGAATGAATATGGTGTGAAGCCTATAATAATTGTTTTATTCACAAGTATACCTAAAAACGCAATATATTTCTTCGTCATTCTAATACTAGATGGAATTATGTAGAATAATATTCGCTAAATAAGTAAACATTTTGTTCTAGAAGTATTATATGTTTATTTACATAATTATTACAATATTAAAACTATATTACCCGTTAACAATCCTTACACTACACTTATTCACTCGTATCAGTGAGTGAGTGAGTGTCACTCATCGTCCAAGTCAAACCACAGGGAGGTAACACTGGATAGCTGTTCCCTGCTTTCTTCCGTGATGATCTTAAGCACTACCACCTCCATCATACACAACGCGAAGAATATAACGAATATAGCGAAATTTGATCCTTGGTGTTGGAACTGGAAGGAGCTGGGTATCGGTCCAGGAGGTGGCCAGGCATCCACACTGAAGGAAGCTACTCCAGACACACTGAACGCATCCATATTTAATATCGTTTATACCAAAACATCGTTCTATATTAATGTATCACTCATTTAGTCGTTGTATTTTTCATATACAACTCCTCGGTCAGTGCTAATTTTCCGTCACCCACTACAGTATCGTGCGACGTCCGTCGTCTGTCTGTGGATGCAGCCCGTAGCTAGCAGTCCGCAGCCGACAGCTGTTGTAATGTCTTATGAAATATGATACGTTTCAGTTAGACACGCCGCGCCGCGTTGAGAAAGGTGGTGCGGGTGAATGCAACACTTTGGGGTCAAGGCTGTAGGTCGATGACCCTTAGTAACGTGGATAAATAAGTGCAGGACGCTTGATTGTTTATTATTGTTGTATCCTATATAATTAATTTTAATATTAAATAAATACGATTGCCTAAAAGAAATAGATTAATATTTCTGTAACTTAAAATATAAATTCGCTTATTATTTTAGGTGGCAATATAATTGTTATTCTGTCTAATATGTAAAATTTAATATTAGTTGGAAATATTATTTTCATAAAACTTTATAATCAACTATCATTTTATATATATTATATTATTAATCATAATTATATATCGGGTCTTAGTTCACGTAAACTAAATGATAAAAATGGCATTATTGATAACAACACGAAGAGATTAATGCAACTCAATAAATTATAATGTATATATATTTAATCAAAAAGGTTTCATTTTAGGCAAAAAATAATAATATTTATTATCAGCCAAGAAATACATATAAATAAAAAAAAACAATAATACGTCATTGAAAGACGTGTATGTCGTAATGTATTTCAAGTCTTGTAACGAATGTTATGTAAACAGGTTGCTTTTAAATAGAACGAGTGTTGTGAGCTAAAAATATACTACATATGTACATACATAATGTATATAAGTGTTATATATAAAGATGCGCCTGAATTATCAGCTCAGCGACGCCGGTCATCAGAACCAGACCCATCTATAGAGAAGGTGTTACTGGTAAACCCTAATTGTCCAGTCAGGATTATGTTGGAATATATAAGGAAACGCTGCAGGCTCGGGAAGTTCACTGAGTTTGATCTATGTGATGAGAGCGGTCATTTAATGGGGCTCTTTGATATGCCTACATATGTATACACAACTGATAAATTCGAACATAAAAGGACTTACTACATCATTATAATAAAACAGGTGGTTATACAATAATATACTGGACTTGTGAGTAGATATTAGAATTAAAATATGTAGTTAAGTTTGACTTCCAGTGTTTTATAAGTATTTTACATTGGACATGAAGTCTTACACTTATACCTCGTTTCAAGACGAGACTGCTGTATTGCCTTACTTCAGATTAATGTAGAAGAAACGAAAAAAAAATAGTGAAGACGAAAAATATGTTTTCGGTACATGTTTGTTACGTATTGAGTTTTATAGGAGATCATTCGGATTCAGTTTAGTTAAATTTACTATATAGATACACTTGATTTTGGCTACGGCTTCGCCTGCGTTGGATATCAGAATTCTTCTTAAGAATAGATATGTAATGTATTAAAACAATAAATATGTTTACATGTTTAATTTGTTTCATGCCACATCATATACAAAACAACTGTTATGCCTTAATCCTGCGGTAACTACGCTGAAATACGGAATAAACTACATATAACGCATGTCTTACTCCGATGTCTAATCTACATATATTACTATAAGGGTTCATCATAGTCAGTTCATCAAATTTTGCGTGAATGAAAAACAAACATGCATAGGTCCATACATCTATATATCCTTAGAGACTCAAGCATAGTTAATATTAGAAGTTTAACTGCTACGATTATTGATATTAATCATAATATTTGTATTTTGTCAGTACTCATAAGAAACTATGTTCATTGATTGAATTTTTTAATAAATCTTAACTAATTTCGGTTCACATAATAAACATACTTATCATATATTATGTAGAAATGGATATATCTCAATTCTCATACATGCGTTGTAATTTTTAACCATTGTTATTTTTTCTATCACCTAAACTGGGATAATTTTAAATTCAGATTGAAAATGCAATTAAGAACCGAATATACCCTGGATATCAATATAATAATATTCGAATTTTGTGTTAAAAATTTAAAATATTTATATATAGGAAAATTAATTTGGTTAATCTTCATCAGCTATAGTTTCATTTTTGAAACAGTGTAGTAAAGAGTTAGGATTTTTATTATTATAGGTATTTCTTATTTCGTTTGTAATATTTTGTTATAATCTATTAGTGAACGTCATTAAATTGTTTATGTTAATTGTTATATGTAATTGTTATTTTGTCTGTCAATCTGTTTGAGGGTACGGTCTACTCATTGATTTGATATAATAATTATCATAGGGTACAATAAAGGAATATACAGGGTGACTGGTGAATTACTATCAATACTTGAGGACGTGATATTTGACGATCATATATGACAAAATAAAAATTAATATAACACAAATATTAATAAACTTCTAAGTAAAGTTAACCAAAAGTTATGTAATTAATTACGCATCGTGTGAACACCCTACAGATTAGGTATACACACACACACACACACACACACACACAAACGCGTGCGGCGGCGTGGTGTTGTATCAGCACGCCGCCGCATGCGTCCACACTTGGAACACTTGGAACGTGTCTATACTTTATTTATTTATACGGAAATTTGGTCAAAAATTAAGTACCTATTTTTTTTACATAATTCGAATGAGAATCATGTACCCAGTATTCTCCTTAAATATTGATAGTAATTCACCAGTCACCTTGTATATGTTTAGAAAGAGAAAGCAAAGAGAAAGAGAAAGAGAGAGAGTATATATGTGGCATATTAAGAGAATGCTGTTTCACAGGAAGCGGACAGAAGAATATCGGTGCTGCCACAGTTGAACCACGAGAATCTAATTTATGTGGACCTCAAGGCCAGGGTCAAAAAATACCTGGCCGGAGACGGGACACCCCCAACACCGACACCGGCCTCCACACCTCCAGGGAAAGTGACCCCTCCCGTCACTAAACCAACAGCTAAGAAGAAATAAAGAGTTGATAATGTTCAATATTGTATGGTGTACATTATTAAAATGTTGTATGAAAATTAACGAAATATATTAAAGATATCGGTTAATAAATGAACCGTCTGTCTGAAAAGACTCTTTTTAAAGTCTTTGAGATATAACAAAATAATGTATGGTGGAATTATGTATCTTATATACTCGTAGATCTACAGAAAAGTCCGCGATGGCAATGGAAAAGTATTAAGGATAAGATACTACATTCATTTTTTGAATTATTTAATCCGGACGTACCAATTGAAAGTTAATAAATTTAATAATTCTCAAAATTAAATCCACGGGAAAGCTCACTTTATCTCATGATCACGTCATTGTATACGAAATATAACTTTTTAAAAATAAAAAAACTTATTGACGTAAAAATATATCGTTTTTACAAGTTCAGTTTGATTTTATGTTTAACGAAGAAAGATGATGAAATTTTTGTTTGTTTTTATATACCTAACTCAAAAAGAAAGTATTATACGCAACATAGGCTATTCTACATATATTTATTCTAAAGTACCCCTACGAAGCTGGGGTGGGTACCCAGTAAAATATAATCGTTTAGATATAATCGTATTGTAACTGTGGTGCTGACTGGTCTACATAGAGCCGATATAAATTAATGGCTATATATTTAAAATAGCGATTCCATACATAGGCATATCTTGCATCATATGTACTTATAAAAAATACATGTATTAATAGAAGTAAAAAAATATTTAAAAATTCTTAATACAAATATTAAAGAAAACGGTGTACGCTCATTAACAGACCTCTTGTTGTATTCTCAAATAAGTCACTTTAGCATTTTTCTGTTATAAATCATCTGTAACCTAGCCACGAGTACTTCTTCGTTTTCCTTTAGCGTTTTTAAGAATAAAATTAAACTATCTTTATTTATATTGAAAAATCAAAAGCATGGTAAGGATAAACATGATTTATAAATGAAAAACGTTAAACTGACGGTTTAACGAAAAGTATTCAATTTTGTATTAGAGACACTCGATTGAGAACGATCCATTTGCTGTGCATTGCTTTTATAATTTAACAGGCGTTTAATGACGAATAATTTATTAATGTAAAGTTAGATAATTTATTTAGATAACTGAATATTAATTTGGTAATAATAAAATTACTTGTGAAAACAACTAAAATCGAAACATACTGTATAAGATATATAATTAACAGCTGTATAAGACGTATAACTGCTAATATAACTTGAAAATATAACACTATTGTTACAAGTGGCGCCCTATATGCGGTACAAATTATATTATAATACATAATAAAATTAATACTTATCAATTTTTTGACTGATTATAATCTTCTATATATATAAAAATGGATTGCTGTTCCTTAGTCTCGCTAAAACTCAAAAACGACTGAACGGATTTATCTTATTTTAGTCTTGAAATGTTCGTGGAGTTTCAGGGAAGGTATAAAAGCTGAAAAAAAAAATTCCGGGAAAACCCTAAAAACAGCGCTTTTCTATTTCCCATACAAACGGGTTTTTTGACATTAGATTTGACAACTAACTAATTTGTCAATCATTCTGTCGCACTTTAGAACACGGAGATTTATGGCTTAAAGGTAAACTCCAAAAAAATAATTAAGAAATAATTTATTTCTTGATTGAGGCAGTACGAAGTCTGCCGGGTCAGCTAGTTAATTATAATATTGAATCATTGTTATTTTATAATGGCAACATTTACGTGTCAACCTGTATTTGATAACTACAAATACTGGCTTCAGCAATTTTGTAAGAAAAACAAATCTATCAACAAACAAATTATTCAAAATAATATTGTTATAAAAAATATATAAGCTGCACCGCTTCTGATGGTGTTCATAGAATATTAAGTCCACATGAGTCAGAGGCACCGGAAGGACCGCACGTGTCCCGGAAACGGAAACTGGCAGGAATAATAACGACACCTGTCACTTAGCACGGGCTGCGACGAAATGCACTGTTAAATGCAGCATTAAGTTATAGCAACAAAAGTAGGATATTTTCATCAAATATAGTCTTCTTCTCTATGTTGGTCTATTTAATGATCGCAAGTCCCAGGCACTGTTGAAGCTTCTCTCCCTGCAACGATAGACCCGACACACGCATCGTGAATACATTGAATCATGAGAGGTTTCGTCTCTTATTTAACATTCAACCATATCACAGTCAACTATCGAAGTTAATCATAATAATATTATAAATGCCACGGTTTTAGCATTGTTTGATATCCGTACCAGAAAATACTGAATGGATTTTAAAGAAACTTTTTATTTATATAGTTACACCAGAGCCAAAACCTATTAGCATCCAATGTATTAACCGTGCGTGTGTCGGGTCCATCGTTGTAGGGAGAGGAGCTTCAACAGTGCCTAGGACTTGCGAACCAGGTGTAGGTTTAAGAGGTCCCTATCTAACGCTCGTTAAACGCTCACCTCCACTGTCCAAATACAAAAATATCTAGAATTTTCGTCTAGTTCCCGCGTGAATATAACAGTTGTGTTTTATATGAAGATGTGGACGATATATGGCGCTAATCGTGATTGAAAAAATCTACTATAAAAAAAGGTTCCCAGTAGCATATTCAAAGAGATTTTATAATTTTGTATTTTAGAACCATTAATTCCCACCTGATTGACGTCATCACCATTTTGGTTGAAAGTAATAATAAATCGACGAAAAACCAAATTGAAATGTCACAGTCATTTTGATCTACGCGATCATTTTTATTCTTCGAATTCTTTATAAAGTAAGATAGCTGTTCACGGTATTATGAAAGTACAAAAAGTATCGGCTCGTGTACGAGACTCATAGATATTTTAACGGAACTAAATGCTAAGCTTTTACTTTGAAACATCGAAAATGATATGACAGCCTTAGAAATCTCTAAACTGGAATAGATTTATGTATAAATTTTAACAATTACTTTCATATATTACGTACACTACATAGTAACATGAAACGTGATCAAAATGAGTATATAATATTATGTAATACATATAATCCCTACTAATATTATAAATGCGAAAGTAACTCTGTCTGTCTGTCTGTCTGTCCGTCTGTCTGCTACGCTTTCACGCCTAAACCACTGAACTGATTTTAATGAAATTCGGTACAGAGATAGAGTTGACCTTGAGAAAGAACATAGGATAGTTTTTATCCCAGACTTTTGAAAGGTTCTCTTGGAAACGCGATATAACCGAACTCCACGCGGCGAAGCTGCGGGCGGAAAGCTAGTAATTAATATATTTGGGTGAAGGGCCGCTCATCACAATCGACGATGCGTGTCTGTGTGCCGAAATTTGCCATCACAGACCATTGTTTAATTTCGCTCTCATGGAACTACATGCACTAACATACACGTTAAAGATAAAACATATATTACCAGTAAAATAAAGATCATTAATAATATTGGAAAATATAAAAGTCAACGCGAAGGCAAATCAATTTGCACAGAATTGTTAACGAAATGATTGTAACTGTGTAATTCGATGTTTCACGGGTCGGTGTTATCCAACTGTACCTATATTTGATTTAATTATTTTGTTCTCTAAAGCATTTGACTAGCTATTGTTGAAATTATATTGTTTAACAATAGAAAATTTCATTAGAAAAGTCATTTTACTTCAACAAATCGATATGACTAACTATAAATAATAATTGAACTCAAATATCATACTGGCTGATAAAATGATACGAAAACTAATTCAATATTTTTATCAGGCCGACATTACTTTGTATATTATAATTAATTTCGCACACTCGAACATGAGAATAAGAAATGTTAGTCACTATATCCAGACATTTAGTTTAGTTTCAACTATATAAAAAATTACTTACGTCTTTTATGAATACATCAAACTCCTCCGCAATTCCCGAAGGCCACAACACTTTTTAATAAATTTTTACACCGCAAAAACTTATAAAATCACTGAACGTAAAGCTAGTGCTTGTGAAAGAAATATCTGTTAGTTTTTTTATACAATTTTGTACCGTTTTGGAAATGACGTTTATGTTGAAGTATTGGCGCGAAGTGACTGACAGCGTCATGGCCGGCGATATGGCTCATGCGTTTCTAATATAAAAAAAATGTCCCCTATCAGGGACCCACCATTTAAAGTTTATAATTTTAAAATATGGATTACATTAGTTTATTACTTTCTCATTTTTTATTCAATTAAATTATTAAAAGAGATATAAGCTTATATAAAATAACCATTTTTAACTTTTTTACTCTGCAAATTTTAAAAATATCTGAACTTTTTTAATATCACGTGAGCATGAATTTATTATGTCACAGATAATTTTTCATGTTTAACACTTGATGCAATAAAATATTCAAGATTTTAATGCAAATTTTAACTCAATTTAAATACGGAACCAAATAATATTGTGTATCAATTTCCCTTTAATTAATGACCGGTGTCCCGTGAAAAATGGGTTCAATAGTACATATAAACATCACATGTCAATTTAGAGAAATCGTTATTAAAATTACACTTGTAACTGATGACAATAAAATTACATTTCAGCACTTTCATTTTTGTAGCAGTTTATTTGCGCAGCACAGTTTCATTTTTCTGATATACAGGGTGACAGGTGAATTACTATCAATATTTAAGGAGAATACTCGGTACATGATTCTCATTCGAATTATGTAAAAAAAATAGGCACTTGATTTTTGACAAAATTTCCGTATAAATAAATAAAGTGTTGACACGTTCCAAGTGTGGACGCGTGCGGCGGCGTGCTGATACAACACCACGCCGCCAGACGCGTATGTGTGAGTGTGTGTATACCTAATCTGTAGGGTGTTCACACGATGCGTAATTAATTACATAACTTTTGGTTAACTTTACTTCGAAGTTTATTAATATTTATGTTATATAAATTTTTATTTTGTCATATATGATCGTCAAATATCACGTCCTCAAGTATCGATAGTAATTCACCAGTCACCCTGTATATATAGGTTAACATTTAAATTATTTTCATAAAGTAAATGTTTGGAGGTGGGATCCATCTTCTTTTTGTTATAAAAATCAAAATATTCGTAATATTTTATCCGATTTTAAATCTTTGGTTTTTCAAGATAAATAAAATAATATAATCTAAGCTTAATGTTTAAGAAAAACACTCATTTTACTGAACCCATTTTAAAAATAAAAAAACAGTTTTAAATTTTAAAAAATAATTATAATAAATCAATCCAATTTAATCAACCGAAAATGGAAAAATATATTTTTTTGTTTCATAGATTTACTTAAAAATTGAATTTTTATAAACTAAATTTAAGTTCCACAAATGGAAAAATATATGGTTTGTGGTCAAATAGCATTCAAGTTTTGATTTTAAGTCACAGGTCGAATATTAACATTCAATGCAGAGAAAAAAATTAGTAAAAGGATGTACCCCGCCTTCACAGATTATTTTATATAGGTATTGCAATGGTCTATGCGTTTATTTTAAAAGTAGATTTACTTACGTCTCTTACAATCTATTACAACTAATTTTGTAATGTTAAGATAATTTATAATGTTTTTCATTAAAAGTTCATCAACCTTCAAATAACCGACATACAGTCCAAGGTTGATTATTACTATGTATCTGTTTCACCATCATCGTTGTATTTTGTATGACACAACACAAATAAAATCCTACGTACGGATAAATTTAGATATTAACTAAAATTATCAATATTAATATAAAAACAGAAAAAAAGGTCGAAAAATATTTAAGTATCTATGTTTTAACTTAGGAGAGTTAAATAAAAATTTCATATTGAAATATTACAATTAGGGAAAAACAACTTTATTTTGAAATTATTTCTAGGTAGTCATATTGTTTTTAAATGATCTATCAATTTACAGATCTACTTTTGTAAGTTTGGAAATTTTGATACCTAGTTCAGATCACCTGATAGTATTACAGTCCACGACAGTTGAATTTGTTTTAAAAAATCTTTCGTGTGATTTTTTAGTTATCACTAACGCCATCTATACCCCACTTATAAAAATGTAAGTTCCCTTTACTGCTGACAGATGGCGCTAACAAATAAGTTAAAAAGTTTCTTAATGTACTACAATAACACTAAAAGATTGTTAAATTGTACTAAATGGTTATAATTATTATAAGTTTTTATGGTTTTATCAGTGACTTTTGCCTGGAATAAGTAGTATTTTTTGACAACGCGATAAACAATTAAGTTACAGTCAAAATATAATATAATTATTTCGTAATATACTTATTATTATATTGAAAAAAGTACTTACGTTGGTTTGGACAGTCCATTGGCGAATAGGTAACAAACTCCTGACACAATTCCCGCCAGGAGTCCGAAGCTGACGCCCGCTGACAGAGAGAAGGTGTCCGGCATTATTTAATGTGACTTTCGCGTGTTTCACGAATAGTTCTTTGGTTCTTCTTTCATAATACTGTAATAAAATAAGTATTGACATTAAGTTAAGCTGTTATTTCATTACTTTCAATTATTTATGTTATATTTCACAATCAAGGTTAACTGAAAGGTACTTTAACTAAGTAATAGATGAGATAAGTACGAATAATTGAAATTTGAATTACAAAAATGTTGTAAGTGAATTTGATCATATCAATTATGTATGTGGAACTAAAATGTTGAACAAAATATTCAAAAAATGTAGTTTTATGAATATTTGCTTTTATTTCAAGTTCAGAGTTCACCAAATCTTCGAATTTATAATCGGCCTGAACCGTATGATCGTAATATAATGCAAAGTTTTCCATTTACCTATTAATAATAATACAAAAAAGCTTCACTTATTAAATTTTACATTCATAGAAAAAAACAGAACCATTTGTATTAACAATGATTAACAGAGATAATTTTTTAGTCGTCATTTATTCAAATAAAGTTAACATGTTACATAAAATAATATAATCTTGTCGCTAACAGTATGAACATCTGTTTTATCTATTTGCAACCAAGATTCTTAGTTTTCATATGCTGTATTCGTCAACAGAACATACGCAGAGGATATATTGCAGTGATTGTAAACCAAGCTCGCTCTCACACTATTTATCTCAATGTAATGCCCAGAATGAATATTAAGATAAGGCTAGACTGTGGCAAGTGTCGTGAGACGCTCCCACAGACACGAAGATGAGGGAGAAGAGATCTTATCACGATTATAAAGCAACAATGACCGTCTAAATCAAACCGTTTTAGATAATTAAAACTGTTTAATCGTGTATGAGAAATATATTATAATGCGCCATTAAGATCTTCATTTATAATTACAGAGTAATATCAAACATTAGAAGCAATCATTGATTCTTTTCCGTAGTTTACTTGGATGTAATAAGACTATAATGAGGTCTATGATTTTGGCGAGTGCTCATTTAAATGAACCTAATATTTTCAGATTTACTACGCGATAAAGTAAGCGAAACGTCAGGAGTATATACATAGTTTATTTCCAAGACTATGTTTCATATTTTTGATCTCAATTACGATATAAATGTTATTTTTTAATATATTAAGAAATATTTGGTGTTTGCTTCATGTAATATTGTAAATAGCTATTTGATCTGTCTTGTAATTGGATTCTAAGTATAAGGTGTATCCGAATACAAGACAGTGAAAGTAAAAGGGCATACGAGTGTGAATTGCACAATAAAACGGTAGCAAGTGTAAAAAAGTTGACAATAATAATGTGAAAGGCGCTTTCGTTATTTATATGAGGAAAATAAATATTAAAGAAAAAAACCTATTAAATATCAGTTCCTTAATATAAAGAAAATTTAACAATATAACAATAATTCTCATTGAATACGATAAATACATATTTCGTATTGATTAAATTTGTGAAATTTACATTGCAATCATTGAAGGTCGCATTTTTATATTACAAAAATATTTTTCACTAAACCTAGACCTGACTAAAACTAAAACATTTTACATAAACAAATTGTAACAATGGAAATGAAAATAATTTTAAACGTATTGTACTCGACGAATAGTTGTTAAATAGTTTAAGAATGAGGAAATGAAAACGACCATTCGAGACAAAAGCTAATGAATGTTGCTATAATATTATTTTTATGCATACAATAGAACTAGTACATTGTTTATTTCGCAGGTTTAAAAAATGCTAAAAAACGTCTAGAAAATTAAGAGTTTACTAAAGAAAATGTTCGTAAATGTATTCATAAACTCCAGTGTCCTCTAGCGGTAATTTATTTTAATATTTAAAACCTTAATGTGTTGTAATAAGCAAGATCATACAATGAGGTGTTCGAGGTGATAACTAAAGCTAATATTGACGTACGTCGTAAAGATAGGTTTCGTAATAAAGAATTTACAGAGACCTCGCGCACTATGGATGTTGTATTAAGACTTATTTTATCACAAATTGAAAAAAATAATTTAATTCAGAACGAAAACATAAGTAAAGATTATGTAGAAGTAAAATTTAAACTTGAATTAAATGATTTGAAAGTATATTTGTCGAAATGTTGAAGAATCTTATTTCCAATGTAACCTTCTTTCCCAGTCAATGTCATAAATGACATAATATTTATATTTTACACTAAGATATATATGTTTTAGGGATTATATTTTGTATGTATTATATTCAATATAATTAGAATGAGTAACACTAGTTTGTTGTTCCAGTGTCTGCTTGGAATACGCTGTAACGATTTCACGATGATCGCCGCTGATCAGACGAACACACAGGGCGTTCTGATCATGAAAGATGGTGAGTGAGATGAACAGGAATTTAAATATTATAAGAGTATAACGCCAGGACTGACGGCCTGAAGAAGTTTGCTGGAGGGTACTGGATGCGGAAGGCGAAGGACCAGGTATTCTGGCCCGAATTGAGAGAGGTCTATGTCCAGCAGTTGACTAGGAGTGGCTAAATGAATGATAAAAATATTATAGGAAGTCGTACTTGGAAGATGTTAGGCAGAGAAATCTAATGAAATGACAGTATGAAAATATTTTTTTCTGGATTATACTACGCGTATTTTATTATTGTAAAAATAACATACTCCCGACGTTTCGGTTACTTTTCATCAACCGTGATCACGGGCAGACGAGATGTGAATGTTGATTGCTGAAACGTAACCGAAACGTCGGGAGTATACAGTTTTTTCATTAATAAAATACGTGTAGTATAATTCGAAAAATATTAATTTCATTTCAATGAATACTCGCGAAAGCCATAGAAAAAAATCTCATTAAATGACAGTATGTTTAAGTTGTATTGCAGCTTCAACAATACATTTTACAACAGCCAAGACGATCGAAAAATATCTGTGAAGGTCAGTTGAGAGGAATATGAATTAACATTATTCAAAGAATATCAATAATAATAATTAATATTCGTCCGAGTTTACCTTCTTTCCAACAAAAAATCCTCAATGACAGAAAACATATCTCCAATTGTTTTTATAGTTTTATATTATAATTTGCACCCTACATTCAAAACGATAAACCGATTAGTCTATTTTAATAAACCGTGTCTCGTGATTGACCTTAATGAAATCAAAAATAATTTTGTTGATTAGACTGTGTTATTTGTTAAACACTGATATTATTAAGTTTATTAATATAAAAATCCTAAAAATAAGATAATTAATCCGTATATAAGATATTGATAAAAATGGTTTTGTATTTTAGCATGAACTTTATCAAATTTATTATTTATATTTTTATACTCTCAATGAAAAGATATTCCAACATTAAATTATTTTATATTGTCGATGATGGTGAAGTTTTTCAGTGGTTCAGGTGGTAATTATTTTACTAGAACGACTGATGGTGATAATAACAATGCCACGACCTCCATCACCCGCTACAAGCCTCGCTCCCAATAGATACTGATGCTTGATGAAATTGTTCCTTAGAAATATAAATACTAACAAAATAACTTAGAACTAATAATAAGAAAATCCATGATATTTTTTTCCTAAATTAATTTAATGATTTTATTATGAAAAGCGACTGTAACAATTCTTTTGATTAACGATATAACTTTTTGGTATAATCTTATTGTTATGTGAGAAGGACGAGAGCGTATAAAAATAATTCAAGTCAGCATGATGAGGAATAATATTTCTGGGCTTCAAAATGAAAAAAAAACAACTTTTTATTCAAATTATCAAAATGTAGTGGGTTATATTTGTTTTTGAAATTTGTTACAACTTTTATTTTAAATTTAATATGTACTACGTTTTAAGGAGTACCATTTTGGGGATTTTTCTCATCGTTGGGACTAAGTTAAACCTTTATTCCTATAGATGACGATCGTTTGTTGGAGCTTGCTGACAAGATAGTGTTGGGTGTGAACGGCACGACTGGAGACATGGTCCAGTTCACCCAGTTCATAGCAAAGAACTTGAGGTTATACGAAATGAGGAACAAATACGGTCTGGACTCGCGAGCGGTCGTACACTTTACGAGAAAGATTATGGCTGACGGATTGAGGGATGGCGTGGGTTTTAAGATTTTATTGTTATAATCGAAAACTGGTAGTAATAAATATGTAGGCTTATTCATGAAATGGCAATTGTGGTACGTTATATTTTTGGTTTTTTCTTGTAACTTTGAACACTTAAAGACAAAAGACATTTCGTCTAATAGGTCTTATGAGTGGTCATGTATTTTCGTTAAGGCAGTTATTATAACACACAGAATCCATGTCTACTGAACGTCCTAATGGCTGGTTATGATGATGAGCTCGGAAGCCAGCTCTACTCCATGGATTTCCTCGCGTCTTGTGTCAGTGTACCCTTTGCTGTTCATGGTCTTGGCGGCTTTCTGTCTCTGAGTATCATCGACAATTACTACAAACCAAGTCAGTTATTTTTAAATTTATTTGTTTTAAAAACGTCAAATATTTTTATTCATAAATTTTATTATTAATTTTCACGTGTTTGAAAGGCCAAAAGTATGTTCAATGTTGTTCTCATTAAAATTTACTCTCTGTGGCTTAAAACTGCCCGTGACATTTTTGCAAATACTTGGAAGTTGGAACATACTCTAGTTGTCAGTGTAGGACAGGTGAAAGGTTATATCGTAAGGCTGTCAATGTTTTATATTATAGAAGCTTTACGTAACATATGTTATTTACAAATAATATATTTCTTCTCGTAAAAAACCTCTTTGTCCAAAGATTTCTGGAAGTAGCAAAAACCCAGAATCTAGGCCCTAGATTAAGTAAACAAAATGGTATTTATAATTTGACTTCAGACTAAGAAATGAATACGTATTTTCACTTCGTTTTTCTTGTGGAAATAGATGTTAATCTTTGTTTTATATTGAATTTTATGATTAACATTTCTGCTTATTTTGTTTATATATATTTTATTTCCACAGCCTTAACAGAAATAGAGGCATACGATGTGATCAAGATGTGCGTCTCCGAGATCCAAAGTAGACTTTTTCTTAATCTGTCAAACTTCGGAGTCAAGTCCGTTACCAAATGGGGTGTCAAAACACTTCCCACCATCAACCCGAGCACATTTACATCGAAATAATATTATACAAAATATGTTGTTTTATTTATTTTAATGAATTCCTCTAACTTTTTAGTCCATCATTATAACTATCATCATATCTTTGACATCACAGGATATCATTACAAGCTTGCAATGTCATTGAACATGGCAAATAGATGGCTATTAAAAAGAACTTATCTTTTAAGATTAATGGACTATTCTCGTAAATGTATATTGTAGTCGACTTTAGGATTTAGAAGGCAAATATCAAGAGTAGAATTCTGGTATGATATAAAAGATGGGATAATAGCTCCCGATTGTTCCGCTTAGGGAAAAACGATAGCAGTATATATCAATTTAAACACAGTATTTTCTGTGTTATTTGGTGTTATAAAAGTTCACTTGGTTTTTTCTTGTCTTATTTGATGTTATAAAAGTTTATTCATATGTAACCTTATCTAAACCTAGTCATCACGTCGTGACCGCGCCTGATGACAGTCTTCTCCGATAATAGCTCTCACACGTCGCTCTCATTAGCACTGGATAATAGTTACATTTACATAACATACCTACTATTTGTATCAGGAGTCAAAGAAATGTTGACAAGACCAAACTGCCAATATATATTTTTGCTTTTCTTCCGACTTAAAATAATTTGAATTCAAGAGTTGGTTTATAAGCAAAAATCTTTGTTTTATTTGTCGTAAATTAAATTGCCAGTAAAAATATATCGATGAAATCAAACCTCAAAAATAATTGTCAAAAAACATGGCAATAGTAATTGGCAACACTTATAAAATTACTACTACACAAGGCTCAAAAGGACTCGTATCCAGAGGCGTAAAAACATTTACAAAAAAATAAATATATACAATACACTATACATCTATTGGTAGCACTATTTTGTTGAATAAATGTACTTCAATTTACGCGAAAGAAACCACAAATAGTTATTTGTTACTTATGTGTTATATAATATATACGAAACAATAACAGCACAGCTATAAACTAAATTAGCATTGTAGAAATGGATGCACGTTTCATGTTATTTCTTGGTCACTTCAAGGTTGTACAATACGCCATGAAAAATATAAATTACCTTTTTAAAATGGCAGCTGTCTGTATTATTCGTTTTTTATTACATTAGAAATGTACACTCAGTTAATAGTAATGTTGTGCATTTCGAGCTTTCTCGAATATATGATGTGAGTTTAATTTAGGGGAAACCATTAAAGAATTTTAATTGTATATTATACTTTTTAATTATTTAATTTATAATTTTTTGTTTACATTCCTAAGTACGGTATTTAGTTGAGTATTTTTAGATTAACTATTGTCTTTACGTATTATCCTCGTAATACAAAGAATTTAGTCTTAATCCTCGTCTTTAAAAACCGTTGAACTGTTGGTTTAACGTTAAAAACACGTATTACTCAAACTGGTGTAAATTTAAGTTATTATTGTGCTTAATTAATGTTTATAAGAAAGCAATTAATTAGACTAAAATTTATATTTCAATGTACAGTTATCTATTACTGGTTTTGCTTATTTTTGCATAACGTAGCTCATGATGATACAATTGAATAATTAATTAGCAGTTATTACGAATCAGTCACAAAAAATACATAACACATAAGGTTTATTTAATCATTGATTTTTAATATTTTTTTTAAACAACGCAATGTATCTCTACGTCTACTTCAAAGCAGTGTCGAAAGTAAAGGTGAAATTAATGACAGCACATATTTTTTTTTTTGTTTTCGTGAAAAGAAATTTCTCGTATGTTTTTTTGTGCGCTTAATTATCTGATACGGATATTTTTTGCAAGTCTTTGAGTGTGTGATTACTAACTTAAAATATTATTAATATGGTGTTTTAGTTTAAATATTAATATTTTTAATAATAAATATAAATATTAAGTGACGTGTAAAGAGAGTTTAACAAAAATTTACAATGAAATAGTATTAAATCTGTTCACAGTGCAGTGTTTTTTGAATTTAGGCATTATATATGAAATACAGTGCCTAAATAATATCAAAACTGTTAATATTAGTCAGATACATTTGTAATTACCCGAGACTACCAAGCGAGACGTCAATTTTTTCTATTGTTTTTAAACGACAAAAAGTAACAGGATATGTATTGTTTAATTCCAATAATATCCAAGAAGATCGACAGGGAAAGATTTAAATTAAACTTACACTGAGACATAGGGAAAACGGAAAAGGAAGATAAAAAAGATAAAAGTAAATATATTCACCATTACATAATTACTAACCTTGATATATACACAAAATGGCGCACTTTCTCACTGAAACTTATAACACTCAATGAACACTGATTATAACACTACTTCGAGTGATAATATTAAGTGAATGTGTCTCTAGTTGAAGGCATGATCTACACGAGCGTGCGGCACAATGCGCTGGCGCAGATGACATGAAGGCTGTTATCACGAGAACAGAACACAGTGGAGGTAGGGTGGACATGATTACATCATAATAAAGGACATTCAAATCATTCACACGAATGTATGATGGTAGGGTGGCCATGATCACATAATACGGGACATTCAAGACTTTCAGAGGAATATTATTAAAAAAAATGATATAATTCAGAATACAATATTGTTAGTATAGAAATAATTTCCTATGAATATACTATGTGATAGTTAAAATGTTATCCGTATAAATAATTCATGGTGGTCACCTAGCGTGAGATGTATAAAAGCGTGGCAGCGCGGCTTGCTCGCTGAACTGACACACGCTGGAGACGGACGAAGATCTTATTCAAGAAACACTACATATTAGATTGTGTATAAAATAACTTCCGTAAAATATTATTTAATAAATATGTAATAAATTTTTTTTTATTACTATATACATATAATTTAAATAATAGCAATTAAAAATAACGTCTAAAATACTCACGTCTAACAGAGGTTACATCGTATCAGAATATTATAATTTTCACTTTCAATATATTGTTCATAATCATTTAAGCGACCTTTTTAAAATTCAGTTATTTAATGGAGTTATGTCAAGTTATTTTTTAGTTAAAATCAAAACGATACTTTTATGCCATAATGTATTTTTTATAAGAAATACTACTTTAAAAAGAAAATATAGATTCTTACCGATTTTATTTCATATTATTTTATGTTCTACTACTCCTTCTTCGTTCTCATATTCTCAGGATGGTTAATGTTCTAAATGAAACTAATATTATCGGATTACTATGCAAAGACATTCCCATCTCGTCTGCGTTGCTACAAGGTAACCGAAAAGTAGGGAGTATGTAGTTCTTAAAAATAACGAAGTAACGCGTAGTACATGCTAAAAAATTCGTTTCATTTAAATACTCGTGAAAATCTTAGACCTCATTATAGTTCATGTTCTATATCATCAGGTCTACAGGCTATAAGTCACTTGGTAATCACCTTAACTCAGTATTTACATTTTAATGATACTAGTATTAAATTTCGAGATAAAGAGTCGTGGTTCTGGTAATAGTGCCATAAAACAAAATCAAATTTCTTTCTCCTTAAGAGTGTTATCATAATATATAAGAAGGTTTATTTATGATCTTCCTTTTTGAGATCATTTTTGTCTTATAGAAGGAATTTAATGTCTAGAACATTGGTTAGTTTTTTGACGAGAAATCTTTAAACCCAATTGTGTTTATGGCTAGAATAATAATCTTTTCTTTGCACAATAAAGAGTTCCTTTTGCGAAGGTCGCAGAACACGACATATGTCAATATGGCAACGCGAATGATTGGAGAATTGATCAGAACTTTAAGGGCACAAAAACTACACAAATTGTTGTCATATTGTAGCCAAAACTCTCACGACTGATGTCAGTGTTAGAAAAACATACTCTTAATAAGAAAATATCGAGTTTTTCTTAGAGTAGGTAGGTAAGTATAAACGATAATATTCATACCAATTATATAATTATTACGTAAAAATAAACATATGTGCATATCTAGGTTTCTGTTGAGATATAAATATCTTAATATATGTAAATGATGTTTATCTATATAAGATTGACTTAGCTCATTATTAAGCCTTTTTTAAGTTTTTACAGTAGATTTTAATAAATAAAAGCAAGAAAACTGACTATTGCAATTTATTTTTTCAAAGTAAAAAGACGAAAATATTACTATTCATATTTTATCAACTGTTTGGAGAATGAAAATGTTTGAGTATTCAAATATAACATTCTTTATAGTCTCGCTCGTTTAACTTATGTGAAATACTTGCACAATCTCGCACATTTGATTGGGTTTCGATGTAAAATGAAAATGGATCATCTCGGGATATCCGCTTTCGACGTCCGCTTAGATAAACGAATGGCAGAATCTAACCCTTCACCCAATTCCAATATTCAATGTTTAAAGTTAGGTGATATTGTATTTTTACCTACACTTTACATATTGTACCGTACCGCATTAAATATGCTGCAATGCCGTCATATTAATTTAAAAGTAAGATAAAAAGTTGATATTGAAATGTATCAAAAGAAAAACGAAAATGTTAATTATGATAGTCTTAATACAATATTTGCAAAACATGTAAAACTATTGACTCTCAAACATTTATGTAATTATTTTCCTGATAAAAACTTTGTTGGTTTGGATTATTTATTTTTATATGCATTATATGTGTACGAAGTGATTTTCTTCCTTTATGTCGCTCTAATCAAATTAGTTTAAGACACAGAGGTGTTATAGTGGATTTGAATCATACAAATTGTCTTCTGATTTGACCAGAGAGTTATAAATTATTTAATTATTTTTATATATTTTCCATAATACCACAGGTTCCGTCTACGTGTCTAAAATTTTCAGCCCTACGTTTTAGTCAGGAAGCAATACGTTATAAAAAATATCGAAGACGATACAGTGCGAGTGATTTATATCACTTTAAAATATAATTGACTAATATTTTCATGAAGGGATTTATAGGGATTTGATAAATCATTTTTTATTCACTAGGCCATTTATACGCAGAATCAAGAATGTAATATTTGAATAAAAGAAACATTCATACAATAATTTTTTGATTGAGTCATGACGTTGCGTTAAGAATAAGCATTATAATATGGTCCGATTATGACCACGTTCAGATGATCGATGGAGCCAGAACGTGGTTAAGGTAAATATAGTGTAGGACGCCCTGCAGTATGAGGGAGAGAGAAAGATGGTCAGAAGACGTGATGAGGCTCGAATAGGCTGCCCTGAATGAGAATAGTTGGCGCATGAGCAACATTTATTCCCTAGCTCTAACTCTGTAGGCAAAAAAATAGTTGCAAGGCCACAAACTATGTAGTTTGTCATCATCCATACATATGTATGTTTATCTCGTTTCTATAATATATCTTTTTACGCTTAAGCAATATTAATCATTTACATTATCATCATTCCAGTTTATATACCTACATCCACACTAAAGTACCAACACACATTAATATTGAAAATTTAAATTGATTTGTACCTCAAAATAATATTTATTTATATAAGTGAGTGAAATGAAAAGAATGAATTTCACATTTACTATACAAAATCTGATGAAAATCTTAAGGATAACATTAGTCTTAAAAAACAAACATTATAAAATATTGATCCAAATTGCTATAATAGCTGGAAAGGCGCTTTGATTTTATTAATTGCTCCTATGAAATAATATTTAACTCATGAATTAAGTTCTTATTGAATTTAGGGTTTAATAATAATAATTTATTCAAAAGGATAGCTGAAATTCCTTAATTGAGGATAAAAATAAATAAATTATAGTATGTACCAGAAATCTGTACAATATTTACAAGTTTTTCTAGTTCTCATAATTGTGATATCTGTAATAATTTTTACTTCACTAAACCAGTACATAAAACTAAGTTATTAAACATTATTCGTGAATCTAAAAAACCGTTCAGGAGATTTTAGAATTTTACTGTTACTCACCTCATAGGGATGACAAAAAAGGTTTCGCGCGTGCGCAGTGTAGTCATAACTCAACGATCTGTCAGTCGCACAACATACATAACCTCAAACTTCAAAGTAACCAAAACAGCAACAAATGATGTATACGTTTCTAAATAGTTTCTCGGTCACCGCGCTATTGGACCATCGTTGTTAAATTAAGAGTACTTAAAACAATTTGTGACCACTGTTCGATTGAGAAGCAATGAGTGTCCGCCAACGTGATTTCGTCGAGTTTGTGTGTAAAAAGTGTTTTAAATATGCTGAATTTATATAATAATATTTAATAAACATTATTATAACGCAGTGAAAATTAGTGATACGATTATTAAAGTGTACTTCAAGAAATTGGTCACGCCGCCGGGTAGCAGCTGTGATTTGTAAGAAAATGATTTATTATTACATTTAATACCGTCTCTCTCAGTAGGAAAATTAAAATTTAAATTGTTTCATAAAAGTTATTATTGCGTTATAATTACTACAGGAGTCGTAATTTATATAAACTGTGATATATTTATAATGAAGTTAACACATATGAAGGTAAAAAGTTTTGTCCTTGTTACTCTTCGCCGTCCTTCAAACGTTTAGACACGTCACATCTTTTCTTTATTCCAATTGGCGGCACAGACGAACTGACCATCAGACCACCTTACTGTATATATAAAAAAGAGTTTATTATCCGAAACATTATTTGTGTGAATTATTAATACCTATTTCAGTTTTAATATCACATCTTCCGATATTCTACTCATAGAACAACGTATTGTATATATGTAGTATGTACTTAAAGAAATCTTAGTTATCCTTATTATATCTAAATATATTATATCTAAATATATTTATACACGTGGCAGATAAATTCGATACAAGTTTATCAATAACATTTATGACAGAACAATAAACATCGACGCTTGCTTTCAAGTCATCTTTTTATTGGAGATATGAATTTAAATATAAATTAGAATTCTGCGAACTTCTCGTGCGGGCGAATATGAAGAAAAAATCTTAGAGTTTTATTACTTATATAGTGTTAGCTAAAGGACCCTTTAAAGATTCGGTTATCACGAGGGGCCCGACCCTTTGAACCTTTCGTCCACCCTTTAAAATATAGGTAGCTATTATATTGGCGCACTTCTCGTTTATGATCCGGCACCAGAATCAATCTTTATAAAAAAAAAGTCGTGCTAGTTTCACTATTTATAACTCAAGAACGACTGTACGGGTTTCCATAAAAACTCGATGAGAGATAGTTTAGAACAAGGAGAGGACATAGGATACTTTTCATCCGACTGAAAAAGCAAAAAATAAGTTGATCAAATCTTCTTATCTACTGTCTTTAAGGAGAAATAGAATTCGCCCGGTCAGATATACATTTCTAGTTTTGAAACTAACGCAGACGAAGTCGCATGCAAAAGTTAGTAGTAATGTAATGTATATATATATATATATATATATATATATATATATATATATATGTATATATATATGTATTAAAATTCCTTTCTATACTTTATCATGAATACCGATTAATGCAATATAAGAAATATGACTCTGTTATCTTTATGAGCTGAAAGTACTGTTAAATACAGACACATAATGTTTATTTATAATGATTTTCAATACGTGTACTCGTTGTAAAATGAATAAAATTAAAATAATACATATTGTATTTAATAATTTACATAAGTACATATATGTATATGAAAATATGCACGCATTTCTTATTAGTCATTTCAATCTATCTTCTATCTATATATTATATAAAAATGAATTGCTGTTCGTAAGTCTCACTAAAACTCGAGAACGGCTGAACGGATTTATCTTATCTTAGTCTTGAAATGTTCGTGGAGGTTCAGGGAAGGTTTAAAAGCTGAAAAAAATTGATTACTTTCCGGGAAAACCCTAAAAACAGCGCTTTCTGTGTATTTCCCATACAAACGGTTTTTTTCTGACATTAGATTTGACAACTAACTAATATGTCAATCATTCTGTCCACTTCAGAACACGGATATTTATGGCTTACAGGTAAACTCCAAAAAAATTAATTAGAAATTATTTATTTCACGATTGAGGCAGTACGAAGTCTGCCGGGTCAGCTAGTTATGTAATAAAAATATGAATAACTGTTTTAATACCTTATTAATATTATTGAACTTCGATGTCTTTGTATAACATGAAAAATTGTACATTAAAATTAAAATACGATCTGAAGGTCGGAGATGAAATGTAGCAGAAAGATTAGTCTGTTAGAGACGAGACGGTCCATTGATTTTGATGCTGTATTTATCTCATTTAATGATATTAATGTAACTTTGTATTAAAATTCATTTATTTATATATAATTATTCATTTGAATGTATAATATATTTAATATATCACCAGTGACCGACAATATCTTCCTATCACTATCTTCAAGGCGTCATCTGACGTAATCTGACCTACATCATACATGGTTAGGTGTGTAGTTAATCGCTAATTGTTCATGTTATTTTCCACCTGTTTCGATAATATTATTACCTCAAAATGTCTCATTAGTTATTTTAACCGTCCTACCGGGAGAGACTTTGTTAACCATTCAAAAAGACCTTTGAAAAGATTGTGTTTGATTAATACTCTTATCTTCAACAGTACTGGCTGCCGAAGACCTGATATTGACGCGATGGAAGACTGATACCGCTAATGTCGACTAATCTAATAGTATTAGAATTATCATCGACAACTGTGGACCAATATTACATCTGAGAGATTACTGCATATTAAACGAGTGTCTTAAAATCGGCCTTCATCTAGATTTAATATATTAAAAGTATATAAAAATGTCGAAGACTGAGAGCAGTGACTTGCCTAATGGTATTCACAATCCGTGTGAGCCGATCAATTCAAAACTGTTCCCGGGCGAGGATCCTGTGAGGCATGACGTGTCCGGGAGCGTCATGGATGGACTGATTTTAGACGTGAAGAACCCAAGTTACACCGTTACAGTACAAGATAAGATGGTTCATGTTGGGCCTGTTCGTGTTATACTCCGCATCCAACTCGCTGCAGTGGACCCAGTACGCCATCATATCAGATATAATAGTGAGGTACTACGGAGTCAGTAGTTACGCTGTGTCCTGGACCTCAATGGTGTACATGCTGACGTACGTGCCTCTCATCTTCCCCGGCAGCTGGTTACTGGATAAGACGGTGAGTAAATCATTGCTACACATAATCTGATGTTCGAGTGTGTGTCGCTATGTGCTTTATCTATGTGCATTGTATTGCAAATCATTTATTGTATCTAGAACAAAAGTAAATTTAGTTTATTGTTATGACCTTGACGTGATTGTTATTTTTTTAATAAATTCTAGTCAATTTCTCTTTCATTGAATTGCTGGAATGATTAAACAATATAATTGTAAAATTATTGACTATTTGGGAATTAAATATTTATATTTAATTTTTATCGTCGCTTTGTAAATATATTAAGTATACAGAAATAAAATATCCAATGGTATTTTAATAAATATGTATACTGTACTCGTGAAAGTCTTAGTAACTATGAAGTATTCGATAAACGTAACTTATACAATCAGTAAATCTATAAAGTATGAAGATATATAGTAAGTCTCTAACACAAACATACACAAGTCACTATGAATTGAATATGCAAAGACGTAACACAGCATTAAGCAACAAGTTATTCATAGATAAACATACAAAGCCCACCTCACTAAAATAATGCAAATACAAAATAATGTTTTAGATGAATAACAGTAAGGAATAATCTAAGAATCTTCATAACCAACCACATAAAATAATTTAACTATCCTTTTTCATTGTAATCATGCATTTAATATGACCAGTTCAAATACTTCTCGTATAGCTACAGAAATCTTCTATATATATAAAAATGGATTGCTGTTCCTTAGTCTCGCTAAAACTCGAGAACAGCTGAACGGATTTATCTTATCTTAGTCTTGAAATGTTCGTGGAGGTTCAGGGAAGGTACAAAAGCTGAAAAAAATTGATTCATTACTGGGAAAACCATAAAAACAGCCCTTTTCTATTTCCCATACAAACGTTTTTTTTGACATTACATTTGACAACTAAATAATATGTCAATTATTCTGTCGCACTTCAAAACACGGAGATTTATGGCTTACAGGTAAACTCCAAAAATATAAATAAAAAAACGTAATAGATATTTCTTGATTATATGGCGATACGAAGTTCACCAGGTCTTCTAGTAAGAAATAAAGTGTTTGTAATCTGTCACACGACGGGAGGATGTTTATCACTGTACCAGATGTGATCATGTTATCCGATAATATATTTAACAACACTAGATAATTCACATTACATGGAATTTAATTTATAATCATATATTTATATCTGATATACTGTCTTTGTCTTTGATACAAAGCGATTCAGTTGAATAATCTTCAGTTGATGGCCCCGAAATGTACCAAGAGGCAAAACTAGTTATTTTTATGGTGTCAAACTAGCAGACGGCCTACTTGATGGGCAATAGTCACGATGCCAACCTTAGTTTTTGAGAAATAGGAAGGGGTAGGAATAAGAAAATGATAGAAGAAGCTGGAATAGTGTAAAGGCTACCGGCTCTTTCACTCATCGAACGAAACGTAGCCATTAAAGGCTACTTCACGCCGATCTTCTGTGAGAGGGTGGTACTTCCCAGGTCGAGCCAGCCTATTTCGAGCTGTAGTAACTGACCACAGCTAGGCTCTATCATCTATAAACTACTACTAGTAGCAAAACCATGTAGAAACATAATAAAAAGTAAGGATACATTGAGCAAATATATATATATTATTAAAATCGCTAGATCAGGGTAATTGATCAGTGCTTCTAAACAAAGGGAAGTCCTAAAACAAATGTAGAATCTGTATTGATTTCTCTGGTAGTTGAATTCTGTAAAGAGTCTTTTGTGTAGGATGTTAAATACTTTCTTTGGCCCCGTCATCTTGATTGTTACTCTGTAATTATGTAGTCCTAAGTAGACTAATATTGAGATTTAGCGGTGTTTGTCAAGGTCAATGGTTGGATCTAAGCACTTAATAATTTAAATTCGACATTATATAACTTATAAAAATTATCGTCTGCCATCTACATAGTATAGTACACAAATATTTTAAGGCCATATTAATTATTATTCAATATAAAACTAAGTCATCGCGTTGAATCCGCGTCTCCTCGTATGGTGTGTGGTGTGTACAGTGATTGTTTCCACACAAAGCAGTATCATTAAACGCCCGTCTATCACCGGACCTTTCAAATACCAGGAGATTGATTGTTTTCAACTGTTTTTAACAACCTCCTGCATTGTTCGTCCCTATCTAAATAAATAAATTATAATGTGCAACTGATGTACACATAAATTCATTAATAATTTCATATATTATTTAGTTTTTTTCTTTATACGAAGCGTAGAGTAAAGAATAGAGATTAGAATGCAAAATAACTAAGAGTTAATCCTAGGTATAGTTTCCACAAAACGCTTGAATGATTTTCTATTGTGCTATATTGAAAGTTTGCACACGTCCCAATAAGCTTCAGAGAGTGAAGAGAATAAAGGTGAGGTGCTAGGTGTTGAGCGACGCGGGGCGAGTCATCGTAGTTATTAGCTTGGTTCAGACGAGGGTTGGGACGCTATCAGTTAAAGGATCAAGGTGACTTAGATATAATGAGATAGAAAAGTCATAGATAGTTTTATGACACTCATATTACACACGCTAAACTCATACGAATCAGACGATATGTCGCGCTTGCTTAAAATTAGATGAAACGTCGGGAGTATGTAGTTTTTTATAAAAATAAACCGCGTAGTATATCAGAAATATATTAGTTTAGTTATTCAACAAAAAATCTAGACTCTCGTAACTTTTACTATAAGTATTATTTTAGGTAGTATCTATGAGTACGTAATTTTAATGTGTCGTAAATCGTATGTGTAGTATGAAGGTGTACGGGCCCCACAGCCCAAGTTACAAACTTCATAACTGAACGGAAACTGTAAGAAAGTCTGGAGTGGTTTCACGGTACTTGGATAACTCTATTTCCGTAACTCAGTTGTGTTTCATTATCGGTTATTTCAGAGGCGGAAATTTATATATTAAATTATCTATTACCATTCTGTTGGAGAATATTTCTCTTAGACACCCGGTCACCGGTTCCTATAAGTTTTATACTTTCATTTACATTTATTTTCAAGACTAGACCAAACTAATTAAGACCTTAAAATTGTGAACTTAAAACTGAAATTATCTTCGCATACCAAATTATTTCTTATAGTTTTTTTGTACTGTTTCTCGGTCGGTCACAACACGTCATATTTCGCTGGTGTCACATGAACGACCGCTTGATGTATTGCTGCATACTGCTGCATCAGCTCGATCTCAATTGGAGTGTGTTATGAACACCTAAACTTGTATTCAACCTTCAGAGCGCCAATCATACAATTACTACATAGCTATTGCCTACTAAATCTTCTGAAAAGTAACACAACTTTGTAAGAATAAGTCCGGATAATGGTCTATACTTTTCTGTATATCATTATGTATATTTAAAGTCGTGTTAGTTACACTATTTATAACTAAAGAACGGCCGTACTGGATTGGCTGTAAATTGTTGGTGAGATAGCTTAGAATAAGGGAAAAGACTTAGGATACTTTTCATCTGATTGAAAAAGATAAACCAAAATTAGTTGATTAAATCCAAAATCTTATTATCTGCTGTTTTTAACGAGGTATAGTCAATAGAATTCGCGGCCGGTCAGCTATACATTTCTTATGAAACGAAAAGAAACTAATGCAGACGAAGTCGTGGACAAAAACTAGTTATTATTAAAATACATTTGTTTTTGTCAGTAAAACATTGTATCTAATAAATTTCCTTGAACTCCCGTACCATTTATTGCATAGTTCGTTAATTTCCACGTATGTATATCACGATAATTACCTCGTGATTTAGATGGTGGCACCTGTCACGTACGAGCGAGAGACCAAAGAATTTATGATGCTCTGTTGGAGGCTGGGGTGGGAACATCGCGGGATGTAAACGGGAGGGGGGGAGGGGCGTTCAACGATTATGGCAAATTTTGCAAATTTACGCCATCCATAAAGGATTAATTTCTTGTAAGATCTGATTCGGTTTCTGTTGGAATTTTGCTTAATGGTGTGGAATATTTAAAACTTGAATATAGTCGCTTGGAGGTTTTTTAGTTTCATGATAATTTTATTTTGGATATAATTTTCGTATTCTGTAGTGTACATTATAATGTTATGTCAATGAAAAACGTCATAATACTAGAGTTTTTTATATGTCGTTTCAACACTTATAAATACTTCAATAGTTTATAATGTACACATACAATCATAAGCTACCTATTTAAAAATGTTTCCACGTTTATTTTTCCGCTTAGATTATCAGATATAAATAAATGCTTTGCAATATTAAAAACACAATTTACATACGTGCTTAAGAATTCAATTAATGGTCCGTTTTCCTATAATTATTATAAACTCAATTTATATTTGCAATAGTATGAGAATTCTATTTTGCTATAAATATTTCGGTAGGCGTTTATTAAATTTTAAACTATTCTAATTATTAAGTTTATGTGACATTGTTTAACGAGGTCATCTATTCACGGGGATGTTCTAAGTTTGAAGCAACTTAAATGAAGGGATAGTGCTGGCTTTAGATGGTCCAGTGACGAAGACAAACTCATAGTTTCTGTAGAAAAGAATTTTCATATTATTATTAATCCATAAGCTTATTTTCTTAAGTACTATTATCATTATTATTATGCTGAAGAACATAAAACATGGTACAATTATTTTTATAATTTGATGAGTCTACTAAAATTACCCATTATTAAAAGAGTTACGAACCCTGAAACAAAATAGAAAAGTCCTTGAGAATATTGAAGTTATAAAAAAATATTTTATCCTTAATATCTTTAAAATGTTTGATAAATTATTAAATTAATTAGTTTTTAGTATTGACGATCTCGTCTCGTTTAAATGAATTAAAAATATATGACTGTTTGACGTTCGGTAACAAGAGATGTGAAAATTTACAGATAAATAATATAGAACTGATGGATGCGTCATTTGTAAAAGGATCTCGAAAACAATGGATGAAGAAATTAAAGAAAGAAAATATATAATGTTATAAAAATGTCTAAAAAACACGTAAATTGCATAGTGACGTTAGCATGAGTATAAACGGTATATTGCATATTTAAATGCCTAATATACTAGTGAGTACTACAAATTTATATATCTATTTATGTAATAATATCTAGAATAGTGCCTTTTAAAAAAAATTATGGAAAATCTTTTGCGCCGCGTGCGTCCTGAATCCCACTCGAGCGTGACAACACTTAATTTAGGGATCAGGAAAAAAAGTAGCATAAGTTACTCCTTATTGCATCAACTACGCGCCAGTAAAAGTCCCGTCACAATCGGTCCAGCCGTTTTAGAGATTAACTAGAACAAATAGACACAGAGATAAGAATTGTAAAAAATATTTTTCTGGTGTATGTACCATATACTTATTTATATGCATATAATATTTCAATATTAAAAACAGACACTACAATTCTATTTATTTGTATACATGAATAAAAACAACTACAATTTCTAGAATAAAATTTAGTACCTATAAATAAATCCGTCTTACATCATCTATCTGCTAGTAACAGTCCCATCAAAATCGGTAGAGCCGTTTCAGAATTTAGATGGAACAAACAGATAGATATCCGGAAAAATAAAAGAGAAAATAGACTCCCCATTTAATAGTCTATACAAATTTGAATGACTATTTCTTATGAAGACTACTCAGTAGTTTTAACAATACTACAATACAAGTAGTATTCTAGTAGCTTATTCTAATTTGTGATTATTGTCTCACTTCCTTAATATCGTTGTAATATTTGTCGCCCGTCTCCAAGGTCTTGGTAGCTAGTGTGTTAACAGACGCTGGCCTTATTACTTGAGACCTTATTATATATTGTTTGTATATAAGAAGTATATAACAAAATATTGTCTTGGTTTTGTAGGGTATACATAAAAATGAACCTAATTATAATAAAGATTAAGTTCTTATTCCTTCGAACACTTTTATTTACCCATACAATTAAATAATATTTAAAAAAAGTTAAATAATATTTATCATATTTTATATCTGTTCTGTTCTTAACTTTTATTTTATTAGATCTTTTTGATGTTTGTGTATCTGACTTAAAAAACATAATTAATTCTGACGTCACAGTCATGAAAGGTGTTTTCCCGCGAGTGAGAAATCCTACTTTGGACAATTAAGAGATTTAAATATTCTTGTTATCTATCTGTTGACATTGATTATAATATGCCCGTCTTAATAAAGTCATTTTTTGGCTCTCACTAAAAACAACAGTATATGAATTTGTTTTGTGATTATTTTTTCTATATTTTAAGAAGACTTTTCCTGCAGGTTCGTATCCCTATATGTAGATTAACACAAAAATCATTCATCAATTATATTTATATAGAATTAAACTTGTATTAAACCTGATCACAAATTATTAGCATAGCAAATAGATTTTGACCAAAAGTGACTCAGTTTACCAAAGAGACATTTATTGAAATTTAGAAACAAATATTAATATTTACATAATCCGTTATTACATATTTTTTACATAAGTGAAAACAAAATTATATGATGCGTCTTTCATATAATATCTCACTGGAAAAACAATGTAATTAAAAAACTATCATTTCCCATACTAATCTAGTATCGTAAATAAAAAATGTTAATGATATGTCTAAAGCAGGCAGTTCCGGGTCAATACGATAGTGTCTCACCGACACAATACGATTTTAAGAATAATATTTCCTCATTCGTTAGAGGACAGTGCCACCTTCGTCGGCAATGTCACGAAGAATTTAAATTAAAATTTTTGCCTACATTGTAATTTTATCATCAGAAATGATACCAGTATGAAAATTTTTAAATTTTGTTCGTTAAATAAATAGTAATAATTGTATTGCCAACATTTAAAAATAACAGTGAGTTGCTTTTTCATCAGTTTTTCTACGGGCTTATAGGAAAACGTGTATTGTTAGCAACACACAAAAAAACTATCAAATATTTGTGGTTACTATAAAAAGGTATTTATGTTATGAGACGAAATAAAATACGCGGTAAATTGCGAATATATTTCATATATTATGAATAAATGTTGCATAAATATGTATATTTATGCAATACCTATACGCAGTTTCTTATTTGTATAAATTTATGTCAAATTTGTTTATATAATTTTTTGTATCTTTTATTTTAATATTCCTTAGTATGAGTGCGTACGATACACTATATACAAAATATTAACCTATGCTATTTCAATAAGCTTCTATATTTCTGAAGATATCAGTGGAAAACTGTTGACGCTGCGTATTTACTATTGAGCCTGACGTTGCCAACGTGTAGTAAGGATATTGATAGTAGTTTCTCTACATAAGTCCCCGTTGTGATGTGCAGTGATGCGTTTCAAATCTAGTCTGAACAAGCGTGGCATCCAACCATTCATCCTTCCTGTTCCATCACTACACACCTACACTACTGACTACATACCTTATGTATTGTGTATTGAATTTAAACTTATATATAATACTAGCTGCGCCCCGCGGTGTTACCCGCGGATTTTAGGGATTTTCGGTATGTAAAGGTAGCCTATATGTTATTCCTGGATGTCAGTTTCTTGTATACAAAATTTTATCAAAATTGGTTCCGCCGTTTGAGCGTGAAGAAGTAACAAACATACACACACTCATAAACTTTCGCTATTATAATATTAGTAGGATTATGTTGTGTACTACATTAAATAACAAATAATAAGATACTATACATATTATTTTTATTTAGTACTCATATAAGAAAAGAGCTGAAGAAGTACAGTTATTGTGTAGGATGCTTATCTTCTAATCGTTATAAATCATAAAAGTCTATTTAATCGCACTCAAGATTGTTATTATGGAGTGTTCAGTATTTTATGATACGCGGAGGTTATCGTGTGCATTTTAACAGACAATTAGTGTGAGTACGTCACCGGTGTGATGATGTCGCGAGGGTGTAGGCTGGCAGAGCAGGGGAGGCAGCTAGCGGTACGGCGAGGGAAAATGAAGAGCAGTCCTCATCGGACCGTCGAGCGCCACACACGGCGCGGGAACACTGACAATAAAATATACGTGCCAAATAATATATAATGACGGACCTAAAGAATATGGAGGTAAGCGGCAGCGTGATGGACGGAGTCGCTGAGAAGGGTGTGCTGGAATCCCCTAATAAGAAGACGCCCGTGGAATACAAGGTGTTCCCGATCAGGTGGCTGGTGCTGTTCATATTCGTGTTATACTCAGCCAGTAACTCGATGCAGTGGCTCCAGTACAGCATCATACAAGACGCGGTGGTGAAGCACTACGGAGTGACCAGCATCACCGTGTACTGGACTTCAATGGTGTACATGATCACGTACATACCCCTCATATTCCCGGCTAGCTATCTCCTCGATAAGACTGTGAGTATAAAGTATATACAACATAAAATATATATAAAAATAACAACCGGTTTAATTTTGACACTTTTTTGTTTTGGAGATACAGGAAAAAGTTTGTCGAATAAATATACATATATATGTATGTACGTATAGTAGTTTGTATAACACAACATTTCTTATCACTAATTATTAAAAAACAATTAAATTTCGATTCGGAATTCCGTGACATTAAAAAATAAATATACTTCTTAAATAATTATTGCTGTGAGATTAAAATATATGTCTATTTTACGTAAAATAAAATTCATCTGCTTTGTTATATATAATTACATTAACAGTACATAAAGGCTACAATACCTGAATCTAGCCTCCTCATATAACTGTATACAAAGTATATGGAGAACCTTATTTATTACACTGTCTCTTAGTTTACAATACGAATATATATAAAAATAAATAAATAACTCCCGATACAAAGTAACAGTATTCTTATATGTATATTTGTTTTTATATTCTTTTATAAATCACGTTTTTGTTATATAAAATAATAATACATATTTGAATAGCTCTGAATACTTATGTATAATGCTATAGTAAATAAGATTATATTAGAGTAAATATGTACTCATTGGTATGAGAAATATAATAATTATAAAATATTTTTATGTATATGTAAATAAATAAGTAGAATTCGGTTAATTTGAAGATTGAAAGAAACTTTTTCTATATATTGTATTTAAGATAATGAAAGCTCTTAGATTATTACTATACGAATACGACAAATAATATTATAATGGTTACATAGTCTAAAAATATACATAACAAGAAAATCAACTCGACTCCATAAATAGATACAGCCTCGTGGAAAAATATCACACGGAAAAATGGAAAGTCTTTGGAGACTTAAGCCTTTAGTTTTGCAAATCAAACACGTGTAGGAGAGAAATGGGAAATGTAACATTTCTTTACAAAAAGTAATATGTTTGAATAGATTTAAGGACACAACTAAATCATTATATCCCTACTAATTTTATAAATGCGAAAGTACATAACTCTGTCTGTCTGTTACGCTTTCACGCCTAAACCACTGAACTGATTTTAATGAAATTTGGTACAGAGATGGAGTAGACCTTGAGAAAGAACATAGGATAGTTTTTGAAAGGTTCTCTTGGAAACGCGATATAATAGTACTCCACGCGGGCGAAAGCTAGTATTTAATATTTTGTATCAAGTAATAACTATCAAGTTATTTTCTTGTAAGAAACATGAAATCACTCAGCCTTAAAGCTATTTCTTTGAAGATAACGTCTTAAGGTCGGAGTTATCAAATATGCCATGAAGACAGTTTCTCATCCTGTTACTGTAATTGTCCCTTTGTTAAAGACTCGGCTGTAACCCACAATGCTATTGACAGGCCACCCATCTCTTGGGGTAACATGATTTATAAGCAGGCAGAACCAATTACAAAACCAACCATGGCAAATATATATATTAATTAATATGGAAATATTTTAAAAGAAACCGGTCGTATTACGAATTTTTCTCGTAGAAGGAAAACAATATCAAAAATTATACGGAAAAATTTATTCATAAAGTTTTAAAGACGTAGGAATATGTTAGGTTGGCAGTCTGATACAATATGAGTTTAAATATGTAGTTGGACCTGGTTATGCTAGAAATACTCTTAGGATTTCATTCTCATGCATGATTAATAATAATGTTTTTTAAGTTTTTCACGAGTATACATTTCAATTGAACTACGATATATAATATTACTACAACTCCTCTGCCCGTGAACACGATTGCTATATAGCAATCAAATATATATTCTTATTAAAAATAGCGTAGTAATAAGTTGTATAATCTCAACAATACAATATTTATTCTCTTAGAAACTTTTGAGTTTTCTTTAATATAAATTACAATAAGTCCGGGTAATAAGTTTGTATTTTTATTTAAATGGAAGGATCGAAATAGCAGTATTTAGACTTGGAGTTTCTGTTACTGAGAGATGAAAGATATTGAAGAACTTATATTTACGTTTAGACAAATATCGAGATTTAAACTACTACAAATAGTTAAAAAATAACTTAAATTTCGATGCTTTCACAGAGTTGATATGTAAAAATATAAATGGGCGTTTATCTAAACTGACTGTGTAAAAAAGATCGTAAATAACTTTAAACTTTAAATCTACAACCTCTCAAAGGATTTATTTTTATTATATGTGTATATAATTAAAGGCCTGTATCAGGCCTATGTAATCCGCCTTGAAATGAAATTGTTTGCTCAAAGTTTTTAATCTTTTATAATACTTCGCAGATAAAACTGGTTTAGTATGTTAAATACTATACTTTTATTGTACGGAATATATTTAGGTATATATTAATATATGGTACTTTAGACTAAAAGAATTTTAACTGGTTATTGAATAAATTGTATAAATTCTTTATTTATTGTAGTCAATAGCCACACGTGTCAAATATAAATAGGAAACCGTGAATGTTTGTTGCTGGGCCACACAAAAATGACTGAATAGATTTTGAATAAACTTTTTGGTAATGTAGATGGTGGCCTAGTGGTTAAAAGGCCCGCCTCTCATGCTTGAGGGCGCGGGTTCAGTCCTGGCAAGTACCAATGTGATTTTTCCGAGTCATAAGTACTTTCTAAGGGTATTTACACATCACTGATTAATGCATTCCCAAAGAGGGTTGATGTCAGGTAGGCGGCCCGTCGTAAAAACAATTAAGCAAAACTATTCACAACATGTGAGGCAGACCCAGGCTATAGCTAGGAAATTGCCAGGTAGAAGAAGAAAGTCGTAGTAATACACTAGTTAGTTCTAAGTTTAGTTTACCTTAGAGGATGTTTATAAATTAATTTCCATAACGGCTGCTCAAGCTGACGTGTGTCCATACAATGTAATTTCATATTTATCACGATTGTAACACGTTTTGGTCGTAAAGAGACAATGAAATAAAATCATTATTGTACAATGATGAGCTGTTTTCACGAGTTTATGGAGTAGAGATATTATAAACAAGTTGAATGTAATTTCTATGTGTTATAAATATTTTATTCGTGATTTATTTATAAACATTGAAAGTAGGAAAAGTATATGTGTAAAGCTGTATATGTATATTGAAATTTATTCGGTGGATAGGCTTATTGTAGACAATTTAAATCCTATTTCTAGATCTATCGGATATAAATCGTAGAATGCACATGCATGTTTGGTAAACTCGAACAGTTCTCTTCTGTTAAGTTACTGATAGTTTAAAATCACATATATTCCGACGTTCCAAAGTATTAGTAAACTGTGTAGAATCATGTGTACAAACTGATAGGAAATGAAAGAAGGAAATAATCCATTCGATGCTGAATAAAGTAGAACTTAATGAGATCTAAGACTATCGAGAGTATTCATTAAAATGAAACTAACATTTTTGGGATTTACTACGACTGCTATATTTTTGTAATAATTTAAGAAATCGATGGCTGTAGATTATAAATAACAAGACCAACTGACAGACATTCACACGTCGTTACGTGATCACGGTTGCTGAAAAGTAACTGAAACGTCGGGAGTGTGTAGTTCTTTCTCATGATTTAATGTATTCACGGTGCGTGTGCCGGGTCCATCCCTGCAAGGAGAGGAGCTTCAACAGTGACTGGGACTTACGACCCAGGTGCAGGTTTAAGGGACCCCTATCTAACGCGCGTTAAACGCTCACCTAATACAAAAACATAAATACAAAAACATATATCCAGAATTTTCGTGTAGTTCCCGCGTGAATATAATATCTGTGTAGTTCTCGTAAGATCACGACACTACAGTTGTATCATATATGAAGGCCAGTTCCAAATATTTTAAATGTCATGACGGTTGATTAACTTATGTATGTTTTAAGCACATATTTCTCCTGTTTTTCCGCTTTTTTCACTTATTTCAGTTCCACCTGAATAAATATGGCGACATTGTTTTGATACTCCACATTGTTGAAGTCTTTTTTATTCACATTCCTATATTTGACGTCATTAATTTTAAAGAATAACACTAATATGACTCAGCACCCGGTGAATATAAAGATTACTTTTTATCCTACATACGTACAAAACATAAAAAAACTATTATATTAGTAACAAACACTACTAAAATTATAATATGAGATTAGTATGTTGACTACAACTTCGTATCATCCTACTACTACACAGTTTTGGTAGTTTTTCACGCTTAAATAGTATCAATGTGGGTTATTGAATGGAAAACGAAAAACCTTTCGTGTGTACTCTATAGATGGAAAATCTTCTAAGTATACAGCTTAAATGTTGGTTGAAATGAAAAAAGACATTTATTATGTAAATAATATTTAAGTGTTTATTGTAAACATTTGTTAGGTATTAACGAGAGGTTCATGCACCGTTTTTTATTTGTTCAAATAATTATATACTTTATAAAATAACAATAAACGTCAATGTTCTTTACAATAAAGATATTAAACAATACATCGATTTATTGTAATTCAAATGTATTGTATAAAGAAAATATTTATACATTTTATTCTATATTCCATTATTATTATTATCTAGTTCAGATGAAAATTCTTTAAATTTTTTGATTAATACGTCCTTGTTCGAGTTTTCTAATGACGGTAATGTTATCAAGAATCATTAAGTACTTTTCCTTATTTTTAAATAAAGTTATTATTGAAAGACTGAATATAAAAGGAGCTGTTTAGATTGTATCAAATAATAGTAATAAATTAAAATAAAAAAGTTTGTAAAAATAAAGTTATATGAATTATTATATTATCTTTGGTTAACATTTTAATTGTTACTTGTAAGTATTCCACGATATTTGTAAAGTTTCATAAATATTGAGGGATTTTTATTTCAATCAAAACTTAAATGAATAGTTTATTATATTTTAAATCATCTGAGGCCCAATCTTGGTCCTTTATTCAAGAGTACAGTAATTGCAAGCCCTATATGTTGTAACCCACGAACGGACGAACGTAATGTCCATCATTACTATACCGAAAAATTGAATGAATTATAAAATTAGTACATTTTTCTATCAATAATATTGTTCCTTTGTATGCAGTGCATTCCTCGACATGAATTCTGTTGTTCAAACAA